TAATCTAACATACCGCCATTTGTATAGGCATTTTTAAATTACCCCTAGCAAAGGATGACGAACACAAGAGATGGCGAGACGAGTGGCTTGGTGAACTGAAGAAAACCAGAGAAACGGATAAAGATTTTAGAAAACAAATCAACGATGACAAAGTATGCACGTGTGAAAAGCATTTCTACCCCGAAGATATTGAAATATGTAAGTATATTTTGATAAATTTTACTACTGTATTTCTGTTTTCTGTCGAGAGTACGCGACGCGACGCGACGCGTGACCTTGACAACAAGATAATATGTAAGCGAAAACAGCTCAGTATTTTCGTAATTAGTCGTATTTAAAAAGTAATTATTAAGTTTACTTTTTTTACAGTCCATTCTGAGAAAATGACCAAGAAAAAGCTTCGATTTGGAGCTATTCCAACACTTAATATGCCAAGGAAAAGTCACCAAAGTGAACCAGCCCCACGTAGAACTCGACAACCTGTCCGATCTGATCATCTCCCCGTTATTCCAGAAGTTAGTACATCATTTTACAAGACGTTTCAAGAATTTAGCAGCAGGGTTCAGGGACTGAAAACCCTTACTGACTGGGGTCTCCAGGCTCTCCGTTGATAAAGCTGTGTTTAAAAAGATGGTTGAGCCTCTCATGCTACCACAACTCGAAATTATTGTAGATGAAAGTCTGGGGTTCACTGTTAAAGTTTATGGATCGTTCTTGGTAGAGGATCATCCCGTATACTTGAAGTACCGTCGTTCTTTGCAGAATTTGACTTTTTCTAATTTAGTCAAAGAATTGGAGAGCTTGAGATTGTGCAATGGTGTGGAAGCAATGGAACTGACTGGTAAACTTTTTCATCATGTTGTCCCTATACATCATGATTCGTTAAGTGATGATGAAGAACAGGAGCAATTTCCACACAAAGGTTTCTGGAGAGTAAAGGGATGCCTCCTTATTGGTGAAGGAGAAGAAAAGAGTTGTTCTGTGTGCACCATGTATGCTGACAATGTTAACAGTGCAAAGAAAAGTCAGGAATGCAAACCTTTAAAGCCTGCACACCTCAATGCACCAGTCTCAAAAACTGATCCAGAAAGAATCAAGCTGGCTTTACAGGGACATCGACTGAAGTGCGCACAGCTTGAACAAGAACTAAATGCAATGC